TGCATACATATGACTAACCTGATTAATCTGTTGTCGTGGTCGATCGTTTACGGTTTCTCCAAACATATCCACATGAGATATATACTACTCATTCACCAAGCCGGCCGCCGAGCAAAACAAAAGAAGCGTCCCTTTCGTAGGAATCATTCGTTCATCCTCCAAATCCTTGTGCGTGCTCTGAATCTGATTGTCTCGATCGAGTTTTTTTTTTCAGCTAGTAGCTAGATCCATGCATGCCCCTGTTTTCTTAGTCAGATTAAGTGCAAGTGCTCGTTCATTTATGTATCCATGAGTTGTATTTCTATGTATTGGTTTGCAGAGGGAGCGGAGGAGGTGAGAGGGGTCATCATGGCGACGAGGAGGAGCAGCAGCAGCAGGCAGCTTGGGCGGAGGCAGCCGGCGTTCAGCCGCTGGTGATGCCGGAGGACGGGTACCAGTGGAAGAAGTACGGCCAGAAGTTCATCAAGAACATCCAGAAAATCAGGTGCGTAGACGGAAGTAAACGATGCATGTCGATCTGCCGGCCGGCCAACACCTTGGTTAACGAAGGGCGCCGCCGGCGGCGCGGCGCATTGTGCGTGCAGGAGCTACTTCCGGTGCCGCGACAGGCGGTGCGGCGCCAAGAAGAAGGTGGAGTGGCAGCCGGGCGACCCCAGCGTCCGCGTCGTCTACGACGGCGCGCACCTGCACGGCTCCCCGTCGTCATCCAACGGCGGCGGCGGCGGCCAGGACGGCGCCGCCAACCGGTACGATCTCAGCACCCAGTACTTCGGCGGCGCGGCTCCCACGCCGCAGACGCGGTGACCAGACGACGCGACGGGCGCCGCCGGCCGGTGGCGCCATCAGGAGGACGTGTGGTAGCTGTTGAATGGCCGGCGGTGGCGGTGCCGGGGCGCCGCCGGTGCAGCGTTGTCGACGGTGTAGGTGGCAGATTATCTGCGGTCAACGTGATTACAACAGGTGCACTAGCTAGCTGGTTGAGCGGTCGCACTGCTACGACTAGTAGTACTCCTACGTACGTAGCTCCGTTTGTTTCCTGTATGTATGTATGTATGTACGATTAGTTCAACTCTGGTACCTGAGGCCGCGAGTGCACCAGCATTAACTAGCAGTAACACCTGAGGCTGTCACGCTAAATGCCAAAATGTACAAGTGGATCGGGTCGCTGGGTTGACTCTTCAAAAGCCTTCTTGCACCAGACACCACAGCCGACTACTAAAAAAATTCATTAGAAGTACAAAATAACCCAACATAAATTACATCGAGGTCCACTGCCGCCAGCAGAACGCCCCTTTGTAGCTCCTCTCATGCCGAAGCCTTGTCGATGACAGCCAAGAAGCATTCGTGCACGTGCGCCACAAAGCCAGTCATCGCCGTTGAACTCTTGAATCGATCTGAAAAATCTGTTTGAGCCACTTTTTTCCTGGCACGTGTGATCAGAATCGAACGGCCAAGAGAAAAGCGCCGCTGCACAGGGTCCATTCAGCCGACGAGGTGCAAAAGAAATACCAGGCGTGCGTATTAGCGAACACGGAAAAGAGAAATGCATCTTTGGGTTTTCGCTGTTCATTATAATGCAAGTTGGAGCATCTCAGGGAGTACTTACACAACAGAAAAAATGACAAATATAGTTACTACTCTACATACATAGGTTCAGCAGTAGGCACATACAGATTTGCCCAACATGACATTGTCTGTCAACACCAGCCTTCTCATCACTGTACCAACAGCATGGAAACTTACACCGTGCAGTGCAGTTCGCTGGAAGTACTCTCAGAAGACTCACACACAAGCTGTCTTCTATGCAGCTCAGACATAAACTCTACTCAGAATGAACGACCCTTTTTGTCGACCGACTCTTCTATCATGCAGCGGACCTGTTATCGTCATCAATCAAGAGACCAAACGGATACGACGCCTCGAGCATCCATCCACAACATGGGCATCTCACCCTATCCCGGCACATCAAAGCCCGCATCAAATTACAACACATGCTATGGGCTCCTCCCCCACACTATATGTACAGTTGAAATTAGCAGCCACGTCTCACAAGATGGCAAAATCTCAGGGGACCTTGTAGATGTGAGTTCGGTAAGTTAATCTGCAAACGAAGACAAGCAAGAAACAATCAGTTTTATTCTTGTATACAAATGTCTCGATCCAAATCTAAAAAAGGCAAATTGTATTATTACTACTACCCAACATCTTCTGCAGGGAAAAGAAAGGACGCATGGCCATAAATCAATCAAAACCAGACAGTATTATTATTAGTACATCGTTTGCGTATAGAGAAATCTAAGCCACGGCAATGACACCTAAGTAGAGAGATTAAGGCACTGGAGAATCAACTTTCCCTAAGATGAAACAACGTTCTCATCAGCCTCCATTCAACAAAATGTAAAAACTCCACGGAAAAGCATGAGCGAGCGCGCTGCTCCACAAGGACAGATTAAATGACCAACTACAACCATAACATTCAAGAATTTGCACAATGTACAGTTGCTCTACACTAGAAAAATGTTCCCCGCTACCATATCGCACATGCACATACCAAGTGCAACCATCCACCAAAATGCTCAAACTACAACAACTGAACAAGAGATCTCCTTATTTTACTAGGTTTCTAGCTCACGGCAAACATAACATTATCAATAATAGTGCATACCATTGCTGAACTTTTCTGAACTCTGTGAGTACAGGATATATGTTTTCAAAGGCGGTGTATGTCTCTTCTCTCACCTGGAAAGGCAATAGTTTTAGCGTCTTTCAGATGTACTAAAAAGAATAGCCAATGGAAGTATATGTACAGTAAAAGACTACTACCTTTGCCCCCGTCAAGACAATCTTGCCTGAAACAAAAATCAGAAGAACAATCTTCGGTTGCTTCATTCGATAGATTAGACCAGGAAAAAGTTCTGGCTCATACTGTAAAATTAAAAACATCAAAGGAAACAACATTCAACTTACACTCGAGAATAACAGCAACATGCAGATGTTCTCAAACAAACATAGAATCATTCGACTTACACTTGAGAAAGCACCATGAGAATATGCAAGGCCCTCCAGTCTAATTGGAAATTTGACATCACAAGAGCCAACGATATTCTGAATTTTGAAGTCCTGATATAGCACAAATGTTAGGACTGTCTCACGAGATGAAACTGGTCAGAGCGCAGGTGTACTCTATGCATGCCTGGAATAGTTAGTTACCTTGAATTTAGCTGGAAAGCCAAGTTTCTGAATAATACGAGCATACTGGGAACAACATTGTGTGTTAGACTTCAGAAACCTCTCAGCCAGCATAGACCAAATAATCGAAGCAAACAATGGCATACCTTTCTTGCTGCAAGCTTGGACTGCTGTTCGCTCTTTGCTCCAGTACATACCTGCAACAGGACTTGTGTTAACATAAGTAAACATGGACATGGACGGCTAGTTGTTGTATACATGGTGATATTCTCTGAAACCTATACACTTTTCAATCAATATAAGAAAGAACAAAAGTTCCTTTCTTCAAAAATAAATATCTTTTTTCCAGCCAAATTGCCATAAGATCAGTGATGACAACCAAGAAAGCTTATTTGAATAAAGATTTCGATCCAGATAACATTCAAAGTCATCTTTCATTGCAAATTATCCTTTCACAGGTACTGGAGTACATTATTTTAGGGTTCATCTATTACAGATAAACAAGAGATATTGATGATGCTTGACTGCAATGAAATTAAGCTACGGGTAACTGCTCATTCCATTAGTGGAACAGAGTAATTAGTTATCTCCAAAAATAAGAACATAATTTCTTGTGCATGCAAATTTTAACTTGCACATTTATAAAAGAGTACTCCCTCCGTAAACTAATATAAGAGCATTTAGATCACTATTTTAGTTATCTAAATGCTCTTATATTAGTTTACAGAGGGAGTACAAATTAGGTATGAGTTTATTAATGTGGTACATGTGGCGATTGAAAAACTAAATAAAACAAGTCTAACCGGTGGCAGTGCAAGTGTGCAACAGCAGCTCATGAAAATAGGCATTCTAATAGTCAAGAACATGTACTAGCTTAAGTGCTTAAGTGAAGTTGGACCATACCATTTTACCTGACGCAAATATCAGTGCTGTAGTTTTTGGTTCTCTTATTCTCATGATAACTGCAGCAAAACGCTGTATGAAGTGAAGAGTAAACAAACAAAAGCATTAGACATGGAACGGAACAGCTAAGTGACATAAAACAGGACGTATCACCAGAAAATACGCAGATAATCAAGTTGCTAATATGCATACTTTGTGTATACTACTCTTTCACCGATGCATTATTGGATAGCAAACTCAATAGCGTACATTAAGCTTAAGACATTATTACATTCAATTCAACGTACTCCCACTACAGTCAAGGTTTATCTGGTAACTGCAGCACTAAGTATCATTTGGCATTTCTTATTTGTAGGGAAAATGAGTTCTTATTTACATTACAAGCTGTTGTGGGGTGCATCTTTACTATCTTCCATTAGCATTACCCTATCAAACTAGAATCATGGAGAAAAGAACAGTTTTGCGCCCTGGGCAAAAAAAATAAAAAATTGTGCCTTACAAAAACAACTATTTAGATATAAAATTGTTTTTTAAACCAGGGGCACAAAACTTGTCTTTCTTCCAGAAAAATTTACATGCAACACAAAGTACATGTGCAAAAGAAATCATAGCTTTTTGGCATTTCAAAAAAAAAAATCAACCAGAAAAGCATGTACTGCAGGTGCAACTTTGAATTACATCTGGGAACGTTAGCTTTATATATGTGTTATGTGGTAGCACAAATAACCTTAGAAAACAGGGATGCACGCAAGTAAAAAAAAACTTATAAGTGAAAACATGGCCACAAGAACACACTGGCCAATCGTCGTCATACCTTTGGATTATATTCCGCGTTACGTGCTTGCAGAGCTATTGCTTTGAGGTCTAACTTACAGTCCAAATTGACTGTTGACACGATATTCCTGCCACAAGATAAGAGGATACACAAACAATGAACTCAATTTTCTCAATAGAAATGGCAAAAGAAAGGTCATAAGCAAAACACAACATCATCTAGAAAACTACAATTCCTAGCGCTGAAACATAACATGGCAATCCAACAACATAAAGACAACGCCACAGGCACAACACACTTTCCAATGCACAACAACAAGCAAGTGCACCATGCTAATCATGGATTAAATTTCCACACACGCTGGCTAGTACAAGTATAAGCTGGCTAGCACGCAAGACTGAAAAAACGACTTGTGCTTTCTTGACCATGTCAAATGAAAAATTGTTCAGCTCGCACCAGCAGTTGAGATAATTCCATCGCCACACCACACAAGATCCTAAGTTTGGGCGAGGACTGGTGATAAACTCCATAGCGAGTGGGTGAGGGCCAAGAAACTATTCCATATGTGCAAAGAAGGGACAAATTTCGGCATGGTTGTTGGTTGGGGCAGAGACAGAGCAAGCCCTTGGGTCTCTTCCTCGCTGTGACGGATCCAAATCCTAATATCCGGGGCAAAAATGCATGTGATTACTACTATTACTCAAACCGGCTAGACTAATTATCGCCCCTCGTACTGCCCTACATCACCCAGCAATTCACCATAAGGGGCAATTTAATATTTTCTGGTATGGTTGGTATGTGATTACTACTACTACTCGAACCGATTAGCCTAATTACCGCCCCATCTCCGGCAGGCGCCGTCCGCACCCAAAGGATCTACTAAGCCAAATCAGGTCAACGAGCCGCCGGCGACGGGCGGGATCTCCCCGTGCCCTCGCCTGCGGCGACCCAGGACGGGGCGGGGCGGATCGGGGACTTACTGGAGTGTGGGGATGATGCCGGAGGGGTGCTTGGACAGATCCACCGGCTCGCTCCCCTCCAGCGTCGCCTCCGCCATGGCGACAGATGAGCCCCCAGACTCCGCCCGGTCGAATCCGAGCGGATCCGAGGCCGGAATTTGGCGGGAAGAGGCGCGCGGGCAGGAAAGGTCGGCGGAAAATTTCGAAATTCGGGGTCTTTTATAGAGATCGGAGGCAGGAGGAGCCGGGAGCGGGGAGGGGAGGGGATCTGGGGATGCGTGTGGTGTGGTGTGTGCGGGGGAGGAGGCGGGCGGTGGGGGGCTTGTGGTTGTGGTTGGGCGTGGCCGGTGGGCCGGGCGGCTTGGGGATTTATACGGGGAGCGAGGTGACCCCCTATGGCCGGTCATAATTGTTTTCCTATGTTGCATTTCGTGTGAATTGTTTCCAAAAAGAAAATAGCCGTTTTGTGACACTCCAAATTTGTGCGAGGCATATGTGAGCGTGGTTTATACAAGGATGCTAGGCTATTTTTACTTTCTAGGTATGTCCCTGGCGTCAGTGGCAGAGTGGCGGGCGAGCGGGAGGGCCTTGAAAACTCGTTGTGTCCTCTTGTTCGTCTCTTTCATGCCTACAACTACGTATGTCTTGTAGAAAATGATAGGCATCAGATTATGTGTCATTGCTTGTCCTGGTGGTAGCTATCTGTCGTCGGTGGATCGACATGAAGCCTTCTCGGTACTTCATGTGGTGTGCATGTTTCATAATGTCATATCAAGGTTCCACCCAACCATGTTCAGATTCGGCACAACTTATTCATTATCTTTGTAAAAGAAGCATGCCCACTCATGGATATATAACACCCTCTAGCTCCTTGGTCTGCTACAATCACACTACTAGCTAGATTTGAATAAGATGATCTCTCTTCCTCTACCCTCCCATCATCGCATGCCGAATGTTCAATCACATTACACTAACTGGAAATGAGAGGCCTCGGGAACAGACCGTCTCATTACATGTCAAGCAATACAAGAGTTGATCTTGCACTACGCTGAGAAGAAATGCGACAATGCGCCGCAAAACATGGCTCTCCAAGACACACCACACATAAATGTAGAAGTTGAAGCTTTCAAAGGGCAGACACCATACCCTCTTGCAATGTGACTGGGCTTCACTGAGTAGCTTATCAAACATGGGCCCGACTCATCTCTTCGGGGGAAACACGGGGGTCTATTCTAAATGTGATGGGAGATGTTTGTAGTCAGTGGCGGAGCCAAGGGGGGCGAGCAGGGGCCTGGCCCCCCCTAACGATCGACCGAACATCGAACAGCTAGTATCAATTAGCGATAAAAAAAAACAGGTACACATGTACTCGGCCCCCCTTATCTGGCTATCTCTCAACGTGAGAACTGGAAAAAGGGAAAAGGCCCAAGTCAAAAGCCCACAATCAGCAGCCGATTGGCGTATACGTGGGATTTATGTGAAATTAGTCGCCGCTGTTCCATGCCCTTGGCGTCCGCTTGCCTCCGCCCATACTGCGACGGCGGGATCCAACCTTCTCTGTTCTCTCCATCGGATTCCATTCAGATTGAATCAGGCGACACCGGTGTTGCGAGGGAGAATCTTGTAGGCTACAACCATCGATTCTCCTGGGCTCCCGCTCACTACCCAAAGGTTAGCACTATTCTGATTAATCTCTATCCGTTCAATCTTATATGCGTCAAAAATATTCTTTCAATTTAATTTAATTCTTTTGTTTGTGAGATCTGCGATACTAAGTTTTCTTCCAACGAAATTACAAATATCATTGATATTGTTTAACAGAATATATTGATCTTTTTGTGTGTGATTAAAACGTTGTCAATTATATTGAAAATTGTAGAGTCTGAATGAAAATAATACAATTATAACTATGTTTTTTTTGTGTGGAAGCGCCACATTATTACTACTAATACATTGTCAAAAGTTTGTAAACGCAAACCATGAAACCATGCAGTGAGGATGGGTCAAACCTTTTCTTCCAACATCAAGCCTGTCAATCTTTCTGGAAAACTATAGTATCTTCGTTGCATTGTAGCAGATACTATAGCTGCGAATTCGAGTGAATTGAACTCTCCAATGGCTTCTATCGATGGTTCACATTGCTTCCCGGTTTTGTGATTCAAAAGTTTAAACCTGATACACTATAATAGTATAGAAATATATATATAGATATAGATATCTCCCGGCAAAAAAATGTATCTGCTTGGCCCCCCCTATACCCAAATCCTGGCTCCGCCCCTGTTTGTAGTAGCATGTAATCACATTACAGGACTAAACGACTATTTATATGGGGAGCGAGGTGACCCCCTATGGCCGGTCATAACTGTTTTCGTATGTACTCGGTGCATTTCGTGTGAATTGTTCCCAAAAAAGAAAATAGTCGTTTTGTGACACTCCAAATTTGTATAAGGCATGGTGTGTGGTTCACACAATGATACTGGGTTGTTTTCACATTAGGTATGTCACTGGTGCCAGTGACAGGCGAGCGGGAGGGCCTTGAAAACTCGTCGTGTCATCTTGTTTGTCTCTTCTCTGCTTACGACTAGGTACATCTTGTAGAAAATGATAGGTATCAAGCTACGTGTCATTGCTTGTTCCAGTGGTAGCTACCTGTCATTGAATCAACATGAAGTTTTCTCGACACTCCAGATGTTGTGCAGGTTTCGTAATATCATATCAAGATTCCACCCAGCCATGTTCAGATTCGGCACTGTGTATTTATTGTCTTTGGAAAAGAAGCATCTCCTCTCGTGGACCCTCTACCTTCTCGGTCTGCTTCAATCACACAACTAGCTAGCTTTCAATAAGATGATCTCTCTTCTTCTACCCTCCCATCATCGGGTGTTGACTGTTCATTTGTATTACACTATCTGGAAATGAGAGGCCTCGGGAAAAAAACCATGCCATTACATGTCGAACAATACAAGAGTTGATTTTGCACTATGCCGAGAAGAAATACGACAATGCGCTACAAATCATGGCTCTTCAAGCCATACAACACCTACACGTAGAAGTTCAAGCTTTCAGAGGGTGGACACCAAATCCTCTTGCAATGTGACTGGGCTAGGTGGAGTATCTTATCAAACATGGGACTAACTCATCTCTTCGTGGGAACCATGGGGGGTCTATTCTAAATGTGATGGGAGACGTTTGTAGTCGCATGTAGTAACCGGATGTTTTTATGAGCAAATTTTTTTATATTCCTATGTGGTACTACATTTTGTGTTATATGAATTGTGACACGCCAAATTTGTGTGAGTTTATGTGTTTGTGGTTCATGCAAGGATACTAGGCTATTTTCACTCTAGGTATGTCCCTGGCGCTAGCGGCAGGCGAGTGAGAGGTTCTTCAAAACTCGTCATGTCATCTTGTCCGTCTTTGCGGCTATGACTGCGTACATCTTGTACAAAATGATAGGCATCAAACTACGGTGTCATTTCTTGTCCTAGTTGTAGCTATATGTCATTGAATAGATATAAAGTCTTCTGGATCCTCCACGTGTCGTGTAGGTTTCATACTATCATATCAAGTGTCCACCCACCCACATTCAAATTTCACACTACGTATTTATATGGGACCGGTGGGCCAGGCGGCTTGGGTATTTATACCGGGACCGAGGTGACCTCCCGTGGCCGGTCACAATTATTTTCCTACCTAGTATAGTTAGTACATTTTGTGCTATATGAATAGTTTTGCTAAAAAAAAGAATAATTTTGTGACACTCCAAATTTGTGTGAGGCATGTGTGTGTGGTTTATACAAGAATGCTAGGCTATTTTCACTCTAGGTATGTCCCTGGTGCCAGTGGCACGCGAGCGGGAGGGCCTTGAGAACTCGTGTCATCTTGCCTGTCTCTTCTCTGCTTATGACTACATACATATTCTGTAAAAATGATAGGCATCAAACTACGTGTCATTTCTTATCCTAGTGATAGCTATGTGTTGTTGGATCGACATGAACCCTTCTCGGTACTCCACGTGTTTTGCGGGTTTCGTAATGTCATATCAAGATTCCATCCAAGGCATTGAATATTTATTATCTTTGAAAAAGAAGCGTCCCCTCTCATGGATATATAACACCCCTCTGCCTCCTCGGTTTGCTTCAATCACACTACTAGCTAGATTTGAATAAGATGTTCCCTCTTCCTCTACCCACCCACCATCGGATGTTCAATATTCAATCACATTGCAGATTACACTATCTGGAAATGAGAGGCCTCGGGAACAAACCATTCCATTATACCTTGAACAATAGAAGAGTTGGCTTTGCACTACGTTCACAAATAGGAGGACCATCTGCCGGAGTGCATCAATCTTCAAGTCAAGCGGCACCAACAGGTATAAGTGGAAGGATTGGAAGGGCATTCACCTTAACCCCTTTACAATATAAAGGGGCTAAAATGAGTAGCTTATCAAACATGGCCCCAAGTCACTCTTCGAGGGAGACATGGGGGTCTAATCTAAATATGATGGGACATGTTTGCGCTAAGCATTCCAAACAATTCAAAAAAACATGTAGTCATTGGATGTTTTTATGAGAAATTTTTATATATGATCCTTAAATGGATACCAAGATTGCATAAACTAGAAAAATAAAAAATAATGCAAACCTACAGGCAAATGTAAAAAAATGAAACAACTTTTGACATCAGTAAACCAAGAACAGGAGAATGACTACTTGGACTTTTTCTATCGTTTCGGTTTCAGTTAGGATCTTGTGCTCATCTCGGTACAAAATGAAACACTTATGAAGATCTAAAGGCTCTCATGCCTACTTTTTAGGCTTCGGCCCTTCACTATTTTCAAAAAGACAAGAACAACTCGAAATTTTCATAATGTTCATTTCGGTGCACCCCCGAAGACGAACTGAGAATAAACAACAACTCAAAAATATCGTACGCTATGTGCCATGATAATACCAGTTGTGGTATATCAAATCGAGTGTCATAAATGCTCTAAGTACAAGCATCGTGGGGTGCAATCAATTATAGCATTATAAGGTCTGTAAGACATGGTAAACATTACATGGCATGTACCACCACATGGCCAAATGATGTGTCA